GAAAGCCTGAACAAACCAATAACAGCAAAAGAAATTGAAGCAGTAATCAAAAAACTCCCAACACACAAAAGCCCTGGACCAGATGGCTTCACAGGAGAATTCTACAAAGCATTTAAGGAAGAGTTAACCCCTATCCTTCACAGACTATTCCAAAAAATCCAAAAAGATGGGAGACTCCCAAACTCTTTTTATGAGGCCAACATCATCCTAATTCCAAAACCAGATAAATACACAACAAAGAAAGAAATCTTCAGGCCAATATTGCTGATGAACATTGACGCTAAAATCCTCAACAAAATACTGGCAAACCTCATCCAACAGTACATTAAAAAGATCATACACCATGACCAAGTGGGATTCATTCCAGGGATGCAAGGATGGTACAATATTCGCAAATCAGTAAATGTCAAATCAGTAAATCATCACATTAACAAAAGCAAATCAGTAAACAAAAGCAAATCAGTAAATGTCAAATCAGTAAATAATCACATAACAAAAGCAAAGACAAAAACCACATGATCATATCAATAGATGCAGAAAAAGCATTTGACAAGGTACAGCACCCATTCATGATAAAAACACTCGGCAAAGTGAGAATAGAGGGAGTATTCCTCAACATAATAAAGGCCATATATGAGAGACCTACAGCCAATATCATACTCAATGGGCAAAAATTAAAATCTTTTCTACTAAGATCAGGAACAAGACAAGGATGTCCACTTTCACCACTTCTATTCAATATAATACTGGAAGTTTTAGCCACAGCGATCAGACAAGAAAAAGAAATAAAAGACATCAAAATCAGAAAGGAGGAAACAAAACTGTCACAGTTTGCAGATGACATGATAGTGTACATAGAAAATCCTATAGACTCCACCAAAAAACTGCTTGACCTAATAAATGAATTTGGCAAAACAGCGGATACAAAGTCAATATCCAGAAATCAAAGGCATTTCTGTACACCAACAATGAAACAGCAGAAGCAGAGATCAAGAAAAAATCCCATTTGAAATAGCAAAAAGAAAAATAAAGTATCTAGGAATAAACCTAACGAAAGACATAAAAGACCCGTATTTAGAAAACTACATAACACTCAGGAAAGAAATCAAGGAAGACACAAACAAATGTATACATATACCGTGTTCATGGATTGGAAGAATTAATATCATCAAAATGTCCATACTACCCAAAGCAATTTACACATTCAATGCAATACCTATTAAAGTACCAATGGCTTATTTCACAGACATAGAACAAACACTTCAAAAATTTATATGGAACCATAAATGATCCCAAATAGCTGCTGCAATTTTGAGAAAGAAGAGTAAAGTAGGAGGGATCACAATACCTGACACTAAACTATACTACAAGGCCACTGTAATCAAAACAGCCTGGTACTGGCATAAAAACAGGGACATGGACCAATGGAACAGAACAGAGAGCCCAGAAATAAACCCAAGTCTCTACGGTCAATTAATATTTGACAAAGGAGGCAGTAACATAAAATGGAGTAAAAATAGCCTCTTCAACAAATGGTGTTGAGAGAACTGGACAGCTACGTGCAAAAAAATGAAACTCGAGCACCAACTTACACCTCATACAAAAATAAATTCAAGGTGGATAAAAGACTTAAATATAAACCATGACACCATTAAAGTCCTAGAGGAGAATGTAGGTAGGAAAATCTCAGATATTTCACGCAGAAACTTTTTTACTGACATGTCCCCTAGAGCAAGGGACATAAAGGAAAGAATAAACAAATGGGACCTCATCAAAATTAAAAGCTTCTGCACGGCTAAAGAAAACAGTATCAAAATAAAAAGAGAACCAACTGTATGGGAAAACATATTTGTCAATGATACCTCAGACAAGGGTTTAATCTCCAAAATATATAAAGAACTTATACACGGCTCCACTCTAAGAAGACAAGGAACCCAGTTAAAAAATGGGCAAAGGACTTAAACAGACACTTCTCCAAGGAGGACATAAAGAAAATCCAAAGACACATGAAACATGATATTGACACATGATATTGAACATCCAAAGACACATGATATTGAACATCGGTTCAATATCACTAGCTATCAGAGAGATGCAAATTAAAACCACAATGAGATCCCACTTCACACCAGTCAGAATGGCCATCATAAACAAAGCAACAAACAACAAGTGTTGGAGAGGTTGTGGAAAAAAGGGGACCCTACTGCACTGGTGGGACTGCAGACTGGTGCAACCACTATGGAAAGCAGTATGGAACTTCCTCAGGAAACTAAAAATGGATCTGCCTTTTGACCCAGCAATTCCACTGCTGGGACTATATCCTAAGAACAGTAAAACACCAATCCAAAATAACCTATGCACCCCAATGTTCATAGCAGCACAATTTACAATAGTTAGGTGCTGGAAGCAACCTAGATGCCAATCAGTAAATGAATGGATCAAAAAACTATGGTACATTTACACAACAGAATTCTATGCAGCAGAAAGAAAGAAGGAGCTCCTACCCTTTGCAACAGCTTGGATGGAGCTGGAAAGCATTATGCTAAGCGAAATAAGCCAGGCAGTGAAAGGCAAATACCATATGATCTCACCTTTAACAGGAACCTAAACAACAAAACAAAGAAACAAGAAAAATATAACCAAAGACACTGAAAAAGAGGACAGGCTGACAGTGACCAGAGGGGAGAGAAGAGGGAATTTCAGGGGAGAATGGGAAGGGTTTACAGGAACAAATTTAAAGGGCACATGGACAAAAACTAGGGGGCGCGTGGTAATGGAAGGGAAGTGGGAAGGGTTGGGTGGGTGGGCTGGAATGGGAGTAAAAGGGAGAAAACTGTACTTGAACAATGATTAAAATTAAAAAAATAAAAATAAAACATACTTTACAGAAATCTGATCTTTAATAGATAAAAGATATGAAGAGACTCTTCACCAACAATGAGAGACAAAATGGCAAAATACACAAAAAGATGCTCAATATCATTATTCATTAGGGAAATGAGAATTATAAAACCACTAGGATTTTGAGACTTCCAGCCAAGATGGAGGCATAGGTGGATGTACTGTACCTCCACGCACAACCAAGATTGGAATAACAACAATTTAGAGGTAGAATAACACCCAGAACTGACAGAAAACTTATCTGAATGGAAGTCGGACAGTCAAGAAGTTGAAATAGACCCATTCATCCAGACTGGTAGGAGGGGCGGAGGCTAGCAGCTGGGTGCGGGGTGCGGCGCAGAGAGAGGAAAGCAAGGAGAGTTGGGCGCATAAGGCAACTGGGGGGGCATGTAAGGCATCTGAGGCGCATAAGATCACAGCAGGTGGACCCTGAGCACACAAGCGGCAGCTGGCAGACCCAGTGAGGCAGCGATTGTGGGGTAGGGCAGAGCATGCAACCCAGGATCCTAGAGAAGGGACTGAGGTCCCACGGAGAACGGAGCTACCACCATTGTTCCCTCTCGACCCCGCCCCCACATACAACATCACAATCTAGTGACTGGGGTGCCCAGCCCTGGTGAACACCTAAAGCTCTGCCCCTCACCAGGAGTGACCAGACCATAAAAAAACCAAAAGAGAGATGGCTCAAACAGAAGAACAAATCAATGCCCCAGGACTCATCCTTTTAAGTGACCAAGAGACAGCTAACCTATCAGATGCACAGTTCAAAACACTGGTGATCAGGAAGCTCACAGAATTGGTTGATTTTGGTCATAAATTAGATGAACAAATGCAGGTTACCATAAAAGAAATAAAGGAAAATGCACAGGGAACCAATAGTGATGGGAAGGAAACTGGGACTCAATAGAGTGGACCAGAAGGAAGAAAGAAACAACCAAACAAGAAAGAATGGAGAAATAAGAACTAAAAAAAAAACGAGGAGAAGCTTAGGAACCTCCAGGACATCTTTAAATGTTCCAACATCTGAATTATAAGGGTACCAGAAGGGGAAGAGGAAGAGCAACACATTGAAAACGTATTTGAACAAATAATAAAAGAGAACTTCCCCAGTCTGGCAAAGGAAATAGACTTCCAGGAAGTCCAGGAAGCTCAGAGAGTCCCAAAGAAGTTGGACCGAAGAAGAAACACACCAAGGCACATCATAATTACATTAGCCAAGGTAAAAATGAAGGAGAGAATCCTAGAAGCAGCAAGAGATAAGGGGACAGTGACCTACAAAGGAGTTCCCATCAGACTGTCAGCTGATTTCTCAAAAGATACCTTACAGGCAAGAAGGGCCTGGAAAGAAGTATTCCAAGTCAGGAAAGGCAAGGGCCTACATCCCAGATTGCTCTATCCAGCAAAGTTTTCATTTAGAATGGAAGGGCAGATAAAGTGCTTCTCAGATAAGGTCAAGTTAAAGGAGTTCATCATCACCAAGCCCTTATTTTATGAAATGATAAAGGGACTTATCTAAGATTTAAAAAAAAAGCATGTATAGTAAAAGGACAGCAAACTCACAATTATTAACAACCACACCTAAGGCAAAACCAAAAGAAACTAAGCAAACAACTAGAAGAGGAACAGAACCACAGAAATGGAGATCACATGGAGGGTTAGCAACAGGGGAGTGGGAAGAAGAGAGGGGGGAAAAGGTACAGAGAATAAGTAGCATAGATTGTAGGTTGAATATAGATAGAGGGAGGGTAAGGATAGTATGAGAAATGTAGAAGCTAAAGAACTTGTAAGTATGACACATGGACATGAACTAAAGTGGGGGAATGTGGGTGGGAGAGGGTGTACAGGGTGGAGGGGAGAGAAGGGGGGAAATGGGACAACTGTAATAGCATAATCAATAAAATATATTAAAAAAAAAAGAAAAGAAAAGAAACCACTAGGATTTTCACTGCATACCCACTAGAATGGTGAAAAGACTATTGAGTATTGGCAAGGATGCAGAGCAAATGTAACTCTCATGCACTGCTGGTAGAAATACAAAATGGTATAGCCAAATCAGGAAACAGCCGAGCAGTTCTTTATAAAGTTAAACATGTACTTACCATATGGCCTAGCAAAGCCTGCTCCTCATGAGGACATGAAGAGAAATGAAAACATATTTCCAAACAAAGATTTGTACAAGGATGTTCCAGCAGCTCATTCCCAGTAGCCACAGGTTAGACACAACCCAAAAGTCCTTCATCTGGTGAACGGATCAGCAAACTGGGGCATATCCATACAATGGAATACTATTCAGGAATTAAAAAAGAAAAATGAATTGCTGATACACACAACATAGGTAAATCTCAAAAGCTTACGCTAAGTAAAAGAAGCCAGACCCAAGGGATACACACTGTACAGTTCTCTCACATGAAGTTCTCCAACAGGCTAAGCTGTAGGGGGAAGAAGGTTAGTGGCTGCCAGGGCCCAGGGAGGAGGTCTAGTGGGGCTGACTGTGAGGGGCATAAGTGAACCCTCAGGGGGAAGCAAAGGCTCTGTACTGTGGTGGTTGTGGTGGCTGCATGGCTGTGTGTATTTATCAAAACTCACTGACCTATACACTTAACATTGGTCAGTTTAGCACATATAAATCAGACCTCAGTAAAACTGGATTTAAAAAGCAATGGCATGAGAGAAAGAAAACTTGAATAAAAATAGAGAAAGAGAAACGTTTCTGAGCAGCGGGGGAATGAACTAGGGAGAAGCATGCCAGGTGGAAGGATATGGTGATCCAGGGTTAGGAGGAGCCACCAAGGAAGAGTAGGCTTGTTTTCCTCAAGGTTTAGAGAGAGAGAGGGTGTTAGATGTGAAAAATACACCTTTTTTGGCCCTGACTGGGTTGGAGCACTGTCCCTATGCACCAAGGTTCTGAGTTCGATCCCCAGTCAGGGTATATGTAAGAGTCAACCAGTGAATGCATAAATAAGTCAAACAACAAATTGATGTTTCTTCTTCTTTTCTCTCTCTGTCTCTTTCTCCTCCCCTCTTCTCCTCTCTCTCCCTCTATGTCTGCCTTCTTCTCTCTTCCTCTCTCTCTCTCTCAAAAAATTAAAATACACTCTTTCATTAGAAGAAACAAAAAATGAGAAAGAAAGAGAAAGCTAAGACCCAGGCAGATAAGCAAACAGAACAACATAAATGTCTAAAAGGCTGGCAGAAGTGTAGAAGCAGCTAAGGCTGTCTATGGGATTCTTCAAGCATTGCACGTGCATGAAGATGGAGCACCAGTCATGCTCTCAAACCTCTTAAATACCTGTGAACTAAGAAGGGAACAGATAGACCAGAAATAGATTGCTGGTTGCCAGGGGCCAGGAGCTGGGGAAGGTTGGGCAGTGATTTCTAAAGGGCACAGGATTTCTTCCTGGGGTGATGAAAACATTCTCTATTTGATTGTGGTGATGGCTGCACCACCCTGTGCATATACTAAGAGGCACCCAAATGTACACTTCAAATGGGTGAATTATACAGTATCTGAATTTTATCTCAATAAAACTTTTAGCAAAAGAAATTATTTGTATACTTGTACTACAACAATGTGAATGTACTTAGTGCCACAATACTACACACCTAAAAATGATTAAAATGGTAAGTTTCATGTTATGTATATTTTACCACAATCAAAATAAATAAATAAAAATAAAAATCAATTGTATGCCATATACTGGCAACAAACAGTTAGAAAATTAACTTTATAAAATAGCATTTACAATAGCACTCAAACCAAAAATACCTAGGAATAAATCTAATAAAAGATGTGCAAGGCCTCTATGCTGAAAAATGTAAAACATTAAAACACTGCTGACAATAAATAAAGAATACCTAAATAAGTAGAAGCACGTATAATATTCTTGGACTAGAAGACTTGGATTAGAAGTATTTAAGGTGCCAAATCTCTCTGACTTGATATATAAATTCAATGGAATCTCAACCAGAACACCAGCACTTTTTTAGACATTGACAAAATGATTCTAATATGTGTACAAAAAATGTGTTGAACCTACAAAAGCCAAGGCAATCTTAACAACAGAAGAACAAAGCTGGAGGGCTTACACTACCAGATGTCAAAACTCATTCTAAAGCTACAGCAACTAAAATACCATGTGGCACAGGGATGGATGAACAGACCTCTGGAACAAAGGAAGGTCTGCCAACAGACACAAATACATAGTCACACCTGGTGGATGACAAAGGAGCCGTTACAGTTCACTGAGGGATGGTCATCTCTCAATAAATGGGCCTGATCAACTGTACATCCATATGTAGCAAAAACAAACCTGACTCCACCTCACACTACATGTAAAAATTAACTTGGGATGGATCACAGACCTAAACATGAAAGATTTTTTTAAAAAGTTTCTAGAATTTAAAAACAAAAAGGATTCTATCATCACGACCATGGAATAGACAAAGATTTTTTAAACAAGACACACACAAAAAATCACTATCTTTCTTCTCAGATGACATGATCATCCATGTAGAAAATCCAAAAATAATCAACAACAATGAAAAACCCTAATAGAACTAACACATAATTCTATTATAGCGAGGTTGCAGAATGTAGGTTTACATGCACAAGTTCATTGCTTTTCCAAGCACCAGCAATGGACAAGTGAAACCTGAAATTAAGAATATACCATCCACACTAGCACTGCCCCCAATAACTGAAATACTTAGGTATAAATCTAGCAACATATATACAAGATCTGTATGAGAAAAATGATGAAACTCTGATGAAGGCCGTGTTTCTTTGTTCATTTTGGCAGCCTCCCTGTGTTTGTTTCCATGCATTAGATAGAGTCAACAAATGGTGGGAGAACAACAGGACACTCACAAACAAAACAATGAATGCAGACCAAGACCTTCCACTTCTGCCCAAGGACTCATGATGTGCGCAATGACGAAGTTGAGATCTGAACCCTGGTAAACCCAGCCCAGTGCCCATGAACTTAGCCTTTGCACCATGCAGGTCTCCACTATGTGCAGGCCTCACTCAGAGGTCTACTGTCTTTCACAGGGTGAAATGGAGCTGCCATCACTAAAATAAGCAAATCCATAAACCTTCCATGAAATGTATAGTAGCACTCTTCACCAGTGGTATAGTTTGTTTTCTCAGTCAACAGAGAACAAACATAGCAAGAAATTATGGAAGCGTCCTCACCATGTTTGGTATTACAGTTTTGACACAAATCATGTTGATAAGGTTCTAATTCTTAGGTTTGGTGCTATCCTGCCAAGTTTCATTATGTTCATATGTTACATAATGTGCGTGTATGCATATCTATGCACACACTCATCTCACATCCTTTTGAATGATCCAAATACTATACAATTTTTTAAATGTGTAAGAGCACTGGCACTCTATGAAGAACAAATAGCACCTTTAAAAAACAAGGTGTCCTCATGTGTGAAGGATGGGCCTAGCATTAGGGAGACGACCCAGATGAGCTCAGAATGGCTCGTTTTGGCAATGACAAAACTTCCATCCTTAGCATGACTCATCTACAGGGTACAGGGGATTTTTTTTTTTTAAGTATGTTCTTTCTCTAGCAAAAAGGGGAAATTTTCAGAAGGATTTTGAATGACTGAATGATACCACTGAAAATAACCACATTGCTAAATATCTCTGATGAGACTACTAATTCAAACGAGCTAGGAAAGGGGTAAGGAACAGGAGGGAAAGAACAAAACACTCGTGCACTTCTACACGGAATATGTGTAAGTTTTACAATCAGAAGAATGTAATGTAAATAACCAGAAATCCTGCTCTGAATTTCAAGCACCCAGTGCCCACTGACCTCCCCACTCCCTCCCATCTCCCAGCCCCCACACCCACTCACTGAGTGGGTGAAGAGCTTTCTTGCTGAAAACTTGTCCTTCTTGTCCTTTTCCCTTGCACCCTAACTTTTCCTTCTCTTATAGGCCTCTGTACTTTTAACACTTTGTTCCAATCACCACTGCTGCACTGATCACGTTAGAGTGATGACCCTGATGTATTAACCACCTGCTTGAAGGCAGGCACCATGCCAGCAAGCTGACACACACTGCCTCTTCTTTGACCATCAGAACTGCCCTCATCAACAGTGTTACTGTCCCAATAACCTGCCCCAGATCGAATGGTTAGTACACGGGTGACCCAAGTCTTTGCTTAGTCCCATGCAGGTGCTCTTTCTACTGCTATTAAGTTCTCTGTTATAATTCAGCACACAGGCACAGCTTAAGTGCTCAATTAATACGAGCTGACGGGAATCAAAAAGACATGGACTTATGCTGTTTGCTCCCAATAAAGAAAAAGGTGCAGAAAAGCATTACACTAAAGGTAAAGTTGTCTCTTCCATCCCAACTTTTTCTGCTGAATAACACGTAATGGCCCTAGCATTAAAAACTAGCACATGCTGAGACTAAGCAGGTGCATAAGAGAACAGTAAGATCACTGCCACACCTGCAAGCCAGTACCCTACCCTCCATCCCCGTCACCTGGAAGTTTGGAGGGTTTCAATACCATATCCTTTGCTGATATCCCCAGTCATCTAAGATGAAATGTCTTGCCCTGATTGGTGTGGCTCAGTGGTTTGATGATGGTTGTCCTGCAAACCCAAAGGCCGCAGGTTTGATTCCTTGTCAGGGCACATGCCTCAGTGGCAGGCCAGGTCCCTTGGTTGGGAGACCTGCGAAAGGCAATCTTCTGATGTTTCTCTCACACATCCATGTTTCTCTCCCTCTCTTTCCCCTTCCCCTCCCCTTTCTCTAAAGAAATAAGTAAACAATTTTAAGAAAAGAGAAATGTCTTCGTTGTGGCTAAATTCATGTGCTGTAAATTGCTGGAGACACTGGTTTTATTTCTTCTGCATCTCCTTTCAGTAAAGTCCGATCAGAGAGGATTATGAGTTGAATTATCACATTATGTTAAGGTAATGAAATTTCATGTGTAACAGCCCTTTTGGTTACCTACCTAAATAGAACAGATTGCCTCCAACAGCACAGTGCCACACCCATAGCCAGTCCTCAAAAAAAAATTTTATTATTGGAATAAAATTCATATAGCCAGTGATTATTTGATACCACTCACCAGGCACTACGCTAAACTGGGGTTAAGTGCTTATCAAAATCAAGACCCTTTCTACAAAAATCTTGTTGTCAAAAAGCAATTGTTTGGGTAACTAGGTGCTGCAAAGCTTTGACCTGCCACACAGGTGCTCTGCCCTCCACAGATAAATACTTGGGAACCAAATAATAAGAAAATATACCTTGCCACGGCCTTTAGTAAAATGGAACGACTTTTTCATGAGTTGAAACCATTTTTTTTAATATTAACCTAAAGAGCAGTTTAATTATCTGGAACGGACCATTCAATACCTGCCCCGTATAAGAATCCTTAGCTAAGCTGGTCATTTCTTGCAAATCGACTGCTCCAAGAGCTGAAGGAGGAACATCTTCCGAACTCTGGGAAAACTGCGGCTGCTCTCGTCCAATTCTGGGCACTGGGGTAAGCGCTCTTCACTCAGTGCACCTCCCCCGGCCCCCCAGTTCCTATCCCCTTCCCGTCTTCCTCCCCAATTCGTTAAGTGTCCTTTCTGAGGGAACGCGGGGTAGGCCGTGCGGCCAGTATGTACGGTCGGCATTAATAAATAGGTTCGTCTGGGTCCCAAGGGAGACGGACGCGCAGCTACTTACTTCCCGCAAACCACTCTCTGAGCAAACCACGCAGCAGGCGGCAATGTTTGGGGAGGATCTGGCTTGGCAGGCTAAGTACTGGGGTGGTGTAGGGGCATGGAGAAGGATCTGGAAGAATCCGGTTAGACCGGGAAGCGGGAGAGCCCAGAAGAGTGTGGTGCCGGGGGGAAGGGCGGTCCTCAGATTCCGGGGATCTCAGGAGTGGGGGTAGGAGGGCCGTGCAGCAGCAAGAGGAATGAACCACAAATAGAAGATTTCACTTTAGCCCCCACAGCATTATAGCCCCAACCCCCTTAGCCTCAGGCGTCTCGAGAAACTTCTCCACCCCCACCCACTCGGTCCCGCGCTCCCTCTCCGGCTCCTCCCAGCCCCTCCCTCCGCGGCTGGTGGGACCAATCGCTCCCTCGGCCGCTCAGTACCCGCCTACTCCGCCTCCCGAGCCGGCTCTTCTGCGGGCGGCTAGCGCGCGGGGAGCCTGAGGGGCTCGCGCGTTGGACCAGTTAGTTGGCTGTTCGGAGGCTGCGAAGCCGGCTCCCGCACCCAGGTGCAGATAGGCCGGCGGCAGAGAGGGCTTGTCTCGCGCCCTCTACCCAGTTCCAGGAGTAAACGGCGCTCGGAGTGGCCATGACCGCCGAGGAGATGAAGACGGCCGAGAGTGGGGTGCAGCCGGCGACCCTCGGAATCGAGGGAGTGGACATCAGCCCCAAGCAGGATGAAGGCGTGCTGAAGGTAAGGGCTGGGACGCGGGGGGAACACAGGGCCAGGTGGGGGCGGCAGAGCCCGGAGCGCCCATCGCAGCCGCCTTCCCGCCGAGCCTGGAAGCCGCCGGCCGAGGCACGGGACGGGGATGGCGGCCTCTGCAGGCTCCGGCCGGTCGTGGACTGCTCCTGCAGCCGGCGGTCGGTTGCATTGCCTTTCTGAACTAGGCTGCGTAGTTTGGGAGTTGAGGGCGGCCTCAGGCTCTAAAGCAGGTAGCCTAGGTGCGCGGACCTACTCTTGGCCGTTATTCCAGCCCCCTTGGAGGCCGGTGGTCTGGACTCAGGTCCCCAGCCCTGCAGCGCCAACTGCGGCGTTCCTGGTGCAGTGGGGCGGGGGAGTAGGGGAGGGACCGGCTCGCCGGTGCACGTGAGCGGCAGCCAGGGCCCTAGGGCAGCGTGCACCCGGGGCGGGGCCTGCTGCGACCCCGCAGCTGCGGCAGAGCTGCCAGCTCCATCCTTGCCAGCCGCAGCCTGGAAGGGCCGGGCCGCCTTCATCAGTGGTGGTGCGAGACCTCGCTAACCCTTGGCAATTAAATATTAGCTAGGACCAGAAGTGGGTCACAAGAGTAATGTACTGTCCCAGAGCTTTCTGTGCAACTTGGCCCCCGGACCTGGCCTCGAGGAAGGTTCTGGCACCCAGCACCCTCCCGTTAGTCCCTTTCTAAAGGCTGGGACTTAGCTAGGTCACCCGCTCAGCCACGCTGTATCCCATCCCCCCAGCCCCGGGAAACCGAGGTAGCAGTGCATGCCGGGACCTGTAGTTCCTCCTTCCACCTCGGACCGCCCCCCACCTTCCTGATTTGGGACTTGGGGTTTGCGGCCCAAAGAGGTTGCTTTGCTTGGGAGCCTGCTGCTGTGCGTGAGATGGGCAAAATTCCTGCAGTCCCTATCTGCTCCACAAATGCATGTGACTCCCCCCCCCCCCACCCCACCCGCCAAGATCTTGGAATCTGAGGCTGCTCTGCCGATGGGCATGTGGCTTTCCCTTCTCTCTCCAGGGTCCTAGTGATTTCTACCAAGTGTTTATTCCAGGAAGGGTCATTTCCCCTTTTATCCTCCACCCCTTTCCCTTTTATTTTCTACTCAATCTCCTGTCTGTTCTATCACGCTTTCCTTTAGAGGTCATGACACACCTACCAGGTGGCCCTTGGAGGGACCTTTGATAAATGCTAAGGAAGAGAAGCCTCGGCTTATAAATTCCTGGGAAATACTCTTAGCCCAGAAATACAGGACTTAAACTAGCCTACGAGTCAGGAATGCTGTGTCCTGAGTCCAGGTTAAGGGCCCTGTGCTGGTAGATTCCCTCTCTCAGAGGCTTCATTGCTCACACTGATCTCCAAACAGGGCCCTGATCAGAGGGTCACTGGCATTTAGGAAGAATGAAAACAAAGAGCGTAAATATTTCTTCCTTTGCTGCTGATAAATTTTACCAATTGAATCCTCCAGCAACTCTGACAGAGATGGTCATCACTCCAAATAAGGTCTAGAGAGTCTGAGTGACTATCCAAGATCATACAGCAAAAACTTGAACTTGGGTCTTTTGTCTCCAAGGATTGTTTTCTCTGTTGTTGTTGTTGTTGTTGTTGTGTTTGTTTGTTTGTTTGTTTTTTAAGAGAGAGACCTATTTGTTGTTACACGTATTGGTTGCTGCTTGTGTATGCGCCCTGACTGGAGATTGAACCTGCAACCTTGGTTTGTCAAGACAACACTCTAACCAACTGCGCCACGTGGCCAGGGCTTGTCTGCAGTTTTTCAAGCCAAGTCGTGTCACACCTCAAGAAAGACAGGGAGGTTATTTGGCTTCTAGCTAAGTTCTGTATCAGAGTCCTTTGAGATTGGTCCCTTGACTCTATTTACAAGGAGGCAGGAGACTCCCTCTATGTACCTGTCAGAAACGTGCAGGCTGTTTTGTGCCTCTTTCTGCCCCAATCCCTGAGTACTCACCTTCTCCCCCTTCCTCCCAGGTCATCAAGCGAGAGGGCATGGGCACAGAGATGCCCATGACTGGGGACCGAGTCTTTGTTCACTACACTGGCTGGTTGTTAGATGGCACCAAGTTTGACTCCAGTCTGGACCGCAAAGACAAATTCTCCTTTGATCTGGGAAAAGGTAGGCAAAACCTAGACTTGGTAGCTAGGTTTCTGGGAGAATGTAAATGGTGACAAGCAGTAGCCATGTTTTCAGAAGCTTAAGGAGGAATGGTTTAGTGCGAACTGCTGATTTTTTTTGTTGTTACTCCTTTTTCTTTCACTGTCCTATAAGTATACTGAGTCCTCTCCCTGCTCTGATCACTCTGAGTACCTTACTTCCTCTTCAGAAGTGGCTACCTTGTTTCTTGAACATCTTTGTTCCAGAGTTGAGCGGTTTAGTTTGTTGGTTTGGTTTTTAGGGGCCCTGAGATGACAGCCCTGATTGCAGCCCCATGTTTCTACCTTCTAAAGAGTGTCCAGCTTCCCCTCAGGCATCGTACCCTGGGGCCACAGAGCCCAGAGTCAGTTCCCTGCCAAGGAGGAAGGACCTGTTTGTTTTCTGTACCTACAGGGGAGGTCATCAAGGCTTGGGACATTGCTGTAGCAACCATGAAGGTGGGAGAAGTATGCCGCATCACCTGCAAGCCAGAATATGCCTACGGTTTGGCAGGCAGCCCTCCAAAAATCCCTTCCAATGCCACGCTTGTGTTTGAGGTAAGTGTCCAGCCAGAGAGCAACACAAAGAGCCAGCCTTACCTCAGCTCAGGGCCTGGCTACCCTCCAGTCCTTCCTGCCTCTTGGAGACAATGTAGCCATAGCTAAGGGCCTGGCCTTAGGGGCAAAGAGAAATGGTGAGGACAGTTGGCTTTGCTGTGCACACAGCTTGCTGCTGCCAGAATAGAAGCTACAGTGGAGGTTTTGGGTGGGAAGAGGTAGCCACAGCCCCTCTTCAGACTCGAGGCAGTAATGGGTGGAGACGTGTGTATCTCAAGCATGGTGCCCAGAGGAGACAGGGTATAATTTGAACCGAAAGGAGCCAGGAGGTCAGAATGTGTATGCAGTTACAAATGACAGTATAGAATGTTGGCGCCTAGAGATAAGAGGAGGGGGGAAATGCTTCCCCCTGTGGGTGAGGGAGGTGAGGAAAGTTTCCTGTGCGGAGATGGAACTTGACACTGGTCAGTCTGCAAGTAGTTGGGCCCTAATTACCACAAATGACTTGGAGGATGTTCAGAAGACTGCTGAAAGATGTTGGGTCATTTCTAACGCTGTCAGACTGGGCTTCTCAAGTAGCTGAGTTAGGATTGACTAGAACCTGTCCTTACTATGCAGAGCAGGGAGCACATAGATTGATCTCCTGAGGTTAACTGAAATCTGGGTGGCCTGCCCACCTCTACTGAAGTTGAGACTGGGGCAAATCCTGAGAACTTGTCAAAAGTGCCACTTGGTTCGCTCCTAGCATGGCTGCCCTCCTGGTCAGACCTTGTCTGGGAGTTAGGAGGGACTCTTAGTGAGAGAGAGTTGTGTCTCACTGTTGATAAGTTAGTGCTGACAGAACTTGTCACCCTATGCCTTGTCCCACAGGTAGAGTTGTGCGAGTTCAAGGGAGAGGACCTAACAGAGGAAGAAGACGGGGGAATCATCCGGAGAATACAGACTCGGGGCGAAGGCTATGCCAGGCCCAATGAGGGTGCTGTGGTGGAGGGTGAGAACACCAGGGCGTCTTGGGGGCAGGAAGTGATGAGACCATAGAGGGATGCCTATGGCATCCTTCTTCAGTTGCCTCCCCACTCATGCACTTGGTACATTGCCTTTCTTGCATGCCAGTCGCACTGGAAGGGTACTACAAGGACCAGATTTTTGACCAGCGGGAGCTCCACTTTGAGATTGGCGAGGGGGAGAGTCTGGATCTGCCTAGTGGGCTGGAGAAAGCCATTCAGCACATGGAAAAAGGAGAACATTCCATTGTGTACCTCAAGCCCAGGTAAGGAGTGGGCTTGGTAGAGCACGTAGGTGAAGCGAGGTCAGAGATCTACATGTCCCCAGTGAGTTAAATGTACGGCCATGTGTATCCTCTCCTCGGTGTGTGTTCACTACCCCCACAGCCTCGTCGTGCTCACTGTGCCTCTGGGCACACCAAACATAGACCATTATGGTCTTTTCACTGTATTTAGGAGCGTGGCCACAACTGTCCACATCTCCTCGGATCAAAGCATAATCTTTTCAGTCATGGCTGCTGCAGACTCTCTTCTTTACCAACATCAAGGTTTTCATGTTCCATTGGTTCACTCGCTTGTTGGTGATGTTTATGGAAGCACACTTACTCTGTGCCATGCATGAGGCTGACAGTTTCTAGTTTCTCAGAGACATTGTTCCTGCCACCAATTGACTCATTTTTCAGCCAGATGCCAGTTCAGTTAGTAATCATGTGAGTGTATGTACAGCATGAGCTGTCACAAGGGTATGTAAGATACCAAGAGAAAAACTAATTGCGTTCAGAGGTCAGGGAAGATTCTGCCACACAGGACACAGAGGTACTTCCCAGGAAACAGGAAGTCTTTTCAGTGTGGAGCAGGTTAACTGCTGATGAAATGGCTTAGAGGCTTTTTCTGCCCCCACAGTTATGCTTTCGGCAGTGTTGGGAAGGAAAAGTTCCAAATCCCACCAAACGCTGACCTGAAATATGAAATCCGCCTCCAGAGTTTTGAGAAGGTGAGTTAGCTTAAGGTCCTCCCTAACCTGAAGTCATGTCCCACCCTGGAGGTGACTCTCTGGCATCACTGACAGTTGTGTTTCTCCCTTGGGGGATGGCAGGCCAAGGAGTCTTGGGAGATGAATTCAGAGGAGAAGCTGGAACAGAGCTGCATAGTGAAAGAGCGGGGCACTGTGTACTTCAAGGTGAGCCAGCAGCCACGGTCCTGAGGACACGCCTAGGGAGGGCTCCTCTGGGCCCGCCTTTGCCTGTCGATGGCTGAGGTCAGTTCCTGCCACAGAGTGGACAAGTGGCACATGCAGTCTTCACTTAGTACAAGCCAGCTGGTCTTGCCTGGGGGCATTGAGGGTGGGAATGGGTAGGACTCTCTTAGGCCCACGGGTCACTGATGACTATGGGGTATGACAGCTTGGTGCCACTGAGCCTCCCTCCCATTCTAGGAAGGCAAGTATAAGCAAGCTTTACTGCAATACAAGAAGATCGTGTCCTGGTTGGAATACGAGTCAAGTTTCTCTGATGAGGACGCACAGAAAGCACGGGCCCTTCGGCTAGCTTCTCATCTCAACTTGGCCATGTGTCATCTGAAACTACAGGCCTTCTCAGCTGCCATTGAGAGCTGTAACAAGGTGAGGCCCCTTTAAAGAAGTATGGGAGCAACATTCACAGGCGAGGTTGACAGTGAGCTGCTATCATGTCTGAAAGTTGCCCTCAGTGACTAAGGTAGAAATAAGCAGGATGGACTGTTGGGAGCTCAGCGATTCAGGACCCAGAGGCAGGGGATGAGAAGCAAGCACTTCAGTGGAAGGAGGCAGGTAACCCAGAGCTAGAAGGACACACTGGATGGAAAGAGCTACTTAAATGTTTGCTTCACCCTGATTCTTAGCTGCTCCCTCTTACATACCTGCCTTATTCTAAAGAGAATGTAAATGTTATCAGAGGTCCTTCTCCTCCATCTGAAGACCTATCTTCCCTCTCTGCCTCCTGGACTGAAAGAGATTCCGTCATAGACCTTGGTCTTGTCTGTTTTATGTCTCAAGACACATTCTTTTACGGGCAGAGCCAGCCATTTGCATTTCCCATCATACTACTGAGGGTACCTTGGAAACCCAGTCTTGGCCAGGTGAGCTACGGGAGCTGAGGTCTTACTGTTGATTCCTCGTCCACCATTAGGCACTGGAGCTGGACAGCGACAATGAGAAGGGCCTTTTCCGCCGGGGAGAGGCCCACCTGGCAGTGAATGACTGTGACTTGGCACGGGCTGACTTCCAGAAGGTCCTGCAGCTCTACCCCAGCAACAAAGCTGCCAAGGCCCAGCTGGCTGTTTGCCAGCAGCGGATCCGCAAGCAGCTTGCACGGGAGAAGAAGCTCTATGCCAATATGTTTGAGAGGCTGGCTGAGGAGGAGGGTAAGGTGAGGATTTAAACAGGTGTAGGGACGAGGTAATGTCTCTTTTGTCTATCTCATCTCTTCATCCTGTGCCCAACCCAGCTGGTGTGGGCTCTTTGTGCCTGTGGTTGTCTGTGCCAGTTCTGGAAACCAGAAGTTGCCCTCATCCCTGGAGCAGTGGCATGGATATTCTCTGAGTAAAAACCCCTGCTGTCAGGGCTAGCATTCCTTGGTGGTCAGGGCAGGAAACCACTTGTAAGTCCTAGAGGTCAGGAGTCAGTTGCCCAGTGTGCTTCCTAACATGTGTTCTCGGTCCCTTTTTAAAATAGTAATGCAATTACATAGTTAAATTCAAATTTGTACAAAAGAATGTAGGAAAAAGTCTACCGCTGCCCAAAAGCAACTGATAATTACCAGTTCTTGTATCATCCAGTATATTGAACACATTTATAAGCAGACACATTGATGTTTTCTCCCTTTTCCCTGATAAAAGGCAACATGTTCTACCTGTTTTTTATACCACGCTTTCTTGGTATCAAATCTGGATGCTTATTTTACATCAATAACCAAAAGAGTTTTCATGTTCTTTCTTATGCTTAAGTAGTTAGCATTTGATTGTACAGATACATTGTATTTCATTTACCCAGTGCCCTATTTCTAGTCAGTGTCCTAAACCAGCACTGTCCAATAGAAATAAAATGCAAACCACATACATAATGTTAAATTTTTGAGTAGCTGTGTTAACGAAAAAGAAACAGGTAAAATTAATTTTTAAAAGATTTTATTTTTAGAGAGAGAGGTTGGGGGGAGAAAAAACATCAGTTGACTTCCTCTCACACACCCTCAGCTGGGGGCCTGGCCCACAACCCAGGCATGTGCCTTGACTGGGAATTGAACTGTCAACCTTTCTGTTCACAGGCCAGCACTCAACCCACTGAGCCACACCAGCCAGGGCTGAAATTGATTTTAATACTTTCTAGTTGACCCAGGGCATCTAAATATTGCAACATGTAATTCTTTTAATTTGAATTTATGTGTTTTAGACTTAAGTCATCAAAATTCAATGCTTGTTTTATACTTATATCAATTTGATCTAGCCATGTTTTTTTAAGTGTGTGTGTGTGTGTGTGTGTGTGTGTGTTTTATATATGTTTTAGAGAGGGAAAGGGAGGGAGAAGGAGGAAGAGAAACACCAATGTGTGGTTGCTTCTCGCACGCCTCCCACTGAGGACCTGGCCCTCGACCCAGGCATGTGCCCTAGGCTGGGAATTGAACCAGCAACCACACCAGCCAGGGTGTGATCTAGCCATATTTAAAGTGATCAGTAGCCACATGTAGCTACCATGGTGGACAAGTACAGTTCTAAACAATATTGCATGTGCAAGTGTATCTTCAGGACACATCTCGAAAAGTAATTTCTGTGTCTGTAATTCTGCTAGAAGTTAATGTGTATGTTTTTGTTTTGGGGGGTTTGTTTTGTTTTGTTAGATTTTATTTATTTTAGACAGGGAAGGGAGGGAAAAAGAAAGGGAGAGAAACTTCAATGTGTGGTTGCCTCTCACGCATTCCCCCACTGGGAACCTGGCCTGGCCTATAACCCAGGCATGTACCCTGAATGGGAATCAAACAGATGAGCCTTTGGTTCGCAGGCTGGTGCTCAATCCACTGAGCCACACTAGCCAGGGCAATGTGTACTTTTTTTTACTTGGGAATGAGTATGTTTGGGTACAGACTATATATACATGGTGTCAGGGTGCTAGGTATGTCTCATCAGATCAGTTGAATGCAGGCAGGCAAGAGTATGGGGACATGGAGTAAAAGTCACCTTTCTCATCAGGTCACTGGGCCAAATGAGAACTGGAATTTATCCTCTTTCTTCTCACAGGCCAAGGCAGCAGGGGACCATGCTGATGCAGAGATGAAGGATGAGCAGAAGGATGTGGCAGGGAGCCAGCCTCAGGTGGAAACAGAAGCATAGCCTCTCCCCAGCCCTATTCCTGCAGGTGCCTGCTTCCCCTGCTCCCTGCTCTGCTTCACCCTGTTTGTTTTGTAAAAAACTGAAGAGTTTTGAGTGAATTAGACCTTTATTTTTCTATCTGGTTGGATGGTGGCTTTGGGGGAAGGGGGAAAGGAGTAGGCTGGGGGATTGAGGTAGGGGATCATTTTAGGTGTTTTACCCCTTCTTCCCCTCCCCCTTCCTCCATTACACATGAACGAATGTCCATCCACACACACACTCAAGGATTTTAATTTATTTTGCTTCCTCTTTTTGCTTTGTCAATTTGTCGAATGGTAGAAGGGGGTTAGTGGTATGGATGTGGGTCAGATGTGAAACCAGGGTGTAGAGGGACACTTCCTGGGCAGCCATTTTCCTTCTCCCTGTCCATTTCGAAACATGTGGCCTCCATGTGGGTGCTAGGGGCATGGGAAAAACCACTGTTGTGCCCATTACCTCTCTCTGTTCCCTTCCTCGCTCTGATGGTGTGGTTGATGTCTTCTGGTGTCATGGTGACCACCCCCTTTATCCCCTCCCAGTATTTCCTCTCAGACCTGTTTGCCTTCTCAGCCAGGTCATGTCCCCCCACCCCTCCTCACCACCTCAGCCTCTTTGCACATTGCTGAAGGTCAAGGCCCATCTCAAGTTCTGCACTTGAGCAATAAAGTGGAAACAATAAAACCTGTGTTGGGCATCCCTTTTTGTTTTGGCCTCAGAGGGTGGGCACTGGTGGCTGCACTGGGGATAAAATTAAGGGAGTTACCCACCACATACATCCCCAGTCCTGCTTAAATGCAGCACCTGGTAGAGAAGCTGTAGTTGGCCTTTTGGGTCCCACACGGGCTGCAGCCAGGGCCTTTGCTGAGGCCTAGCCATTGCTTCCAGCACTGCCCCCAGCAGCCTGGCAATGTTGCCAACTTTGGTCATCTTTCCAAACAAAGAGGAACATGTGAATGTCTAAACTACAGGCGCCACTTGTAATTTTGAGGTTAGATTTGTCTTTCTGCCTGATTGAGCAGAAAGCACAATCATCCTTGGCTTCTTTAAAATCCCAAAAGTCACTAACACCTCCTGTCAGAGACCTTTTCATGATGAAGATGAAGCAAGAAGTACAGTCCTCAAGCCAGGGAACACAGGCACTTAGGGCCGCTTTCCAACTTCCTTCTGGGCCCTAACAGGAAAAAAAATTTTTTCTGGTTTGACCCTTCACCCCTGTAGCATGGGGCCCTGGGGAGAAGCCAAGGAGCACAGGCAGCAAGCCAGAGTGACATCCATGCCCCTATCCTGTGCGGGCTGTTTAATTCCTGCACAGTGACAGCGTGCCTACCCACATGACTGCAGAGTTCCTTCTAAAAGAATTTCCTCCATACTTTTACTATGGAAGATGGAGCTTATGTGTGAAAAAGTTTTGCCAACTCACACAGCATGGCTGGTGCTGGAGCAAGAACTAAAATTTGGGCATTGTTTTGCCAGTGTCCTCATTTTCTCTTTTGATAGATTCACATCATCATCCTGGGTTTGGCACATGTGTCTTTGTGTTATTCCAAAGTTAGATGTGACCCTGCAGTTGATGATAACAGCTAGCCCTCATTTAGCATGGCATAAGCCTAGTACTAGGTGAAGAGCTTCATGCAGATTCACATCCTTGCAAACCATCCTACAAAGGATATGCCACCCCATTTTACAGATGAGGAAACAAAGGCTCAGAAGTTACTGGAAAGGTCTGCCTAGAATATGAGATCCCGAGCAAATCCAAAGTCAGCCATGAGATTCATGTGACATTGGGCAAGTTGAGACTCAGCTGCAAAAATAAGGAAACAGACAAAGTGCTCCTAAGGTTCTTTCCAGCTCTGAGTGCTATAGGAATCCAGGAATTTAAAACAATCACTTGTGCCCTACCTGGGTAGCTCAGTTAGAGCATCATCATGATATACTGAGGTTGTGGGTTTGAACCCAGGTCTGGGCACATACAAGAGTCAACCAATGAATGTATAACTAGGTGCAACAAATTGATTTTTCTTCCTCTATGTAATGTCAATAAATAAAAATTTAATAAATAAAACCACCACTTGTGTAGCACCCTGTAGCTGGACAAGTCTTGATTTATATGACGTTATAACTGTCTTGTGAGGATGTTTCATTAAACTGGCCAGAAGTCTAAGGTTAAAGATAAACCTACCACCTACTCCACTCTGCTCTGAGTCAATGCTCAAATTCATTTCCCAGGTAGTTGCACCTTCCTCACCAACACTTAAATCTTTCCATATGGAGAGGATGTGCTCAAATGAGGAAAACTAGGAGCAACCAGTACTTTCAGCTGTTAGTGCAAATTTGCAGGTGGTTTCTGGAAAATTTTAAATAGGGTTTGTCTTCCTAGTGCTGGCTCAAACATCAAGTTCCACAAAGTTTATTTCCCAAGTACTGTATTTCCAGTCTCTCCATTCTGTCAAGTTCCCCCCCCCCCGCCCCCCACATCACTATGCACCTCCAGCCTGCTCTCTTGTCCTACAAGACTTAACGTTGCATTCCCTCATGGCCCACCTTTTACTCTGCACAGCATTCAAATTATATCCTTCCAACTGCTTAATACAGTCAAGGATTTCCCATCCCATTTATGCATAAGATCATAATCTATCACAGGCCACAAACCCCTTTAAGGTGTGGCCTAGCCTGCCTTACATAATTCACATTTGACTCTCCACTCTATCAGCCACACTACCCTGAGAGTGAGTATAGGGTGAATAGTGTTATCTCAACTGGAGAAATAATCTGTAAAATATGTTATAAGTGGGACTAGTGAAAAATAGTACCTTTTTCCCTGGCTGGTGTGGCTCAGTGGACTGAGTACCAGCCTGCAAACAGAAAGGTCACCGGTCAATTTGATTCCTAGTCAGGGCACGTTCCTGGGTTGCACGCCAGAACCCTGGTTGGGGACGTGCAAGAGGCAACTGACCAATGCTTCTCTTTCTCCCTCCCTTCTCTCTCTCAAAGTAAATAAAATCTTTTTTTTTTAAATAGTACCTTTTTAGAAAACATACTGGAAAATTGAGAATTACACAGTGGAAAACCACAATGAGCTATCACATCTGTCAGGATAGTTGATATGAAAAAGTCAATAAATAATAAATGTTGGCAAGGGTGCTGAGAAAAGGGAAGCCTCATACACTTTGGACGAAATTGTAAACTGTCCATCCAGTCTGTTTATCCAAATATCAATTCACTTGTCATCAATTCATTATCTATTTCTCAATTTATTCATGAAAGAACATCCAGACAGATAATACTGTTGGTAGCATACGATATAAAATAAACAACTGGCTTGTTTAAAATGAAGAAAAACTGGAAACCTGCATACCTTACCCTTCTGTCTCAATGACCAATCTTCCCTTGGCAAATGCAGAACATCTCAGGGCCTTTTAACCCTTAAGTTGAAATAACAGTGGGCTAAGGGCAGTGCAGAACAAAGCCAATGTAAGAGTTGGAAGGCATTCTAAGAGAAAAACTTGTCCTCTTTCAGGAAATTGTTATTGATGACTGTGGCTATAGTTCCCCAGCTGCTTGCCAACCTCAGATAACTTGAACATGCCAACTATGCTCATGACATGTAAGAATCATAATAAAATCTTATTATCATATAATGAACACTAAATATGCCTTGAGAGGTAAAGCGAGAATGAGACCCAAAGTGTTTCTGAAGGGGAATGATCAAGAAAAAGCAATGCCTTCATGAATTTTGAGTTCTTTGGCTAGAAGAGACCAGCCATACCCTATTACCAACCCCCAAAACATGTATGCTTCTTAGGATTTCCTGTTCCACTGTTAGAAGCACTTCACACATAAAATGGTAGTGGTTTTATTTTTATTTGAGGTGAAATTTACATAACAAAAAATTAACCATTTTAAATTCGGTGACAGTCCAATCACGATGTTGTACACCCATTATAGTTCTAAAACATGTTCATCATTCTCTGTTTTAAACATTTCCTCATGTTCTTCACTGACAATGAAGAACTACTTACTGCCCCAACAAGTGTGGCTCAGTTGGTTGGGCATCTTCTTGCAAAGTAAAATGTCACCTGTTTGAGGCCTGGTCAGGGCACATGTCCGGGTTGCAGGTTTGATCCCTAGCTGGGGCATCTAACTAGAGACAGCCAATGTTTCTCTCTTACATTGATGTTTCTCTTTCTCTCCAAAAATAAAACCTTAAAACAAAATAAAACTACTTATCATGCTTCAGTTAATGGCCAACAGAGTCTTGAACAGACAACAAACCTGATAGATTCTAGGATCAAAGCTTTCCAGAGTCAGTCCTTTTTGACAGGGCCAAACTTGTGATGGGTGGGACTTGAAGTAAAGTTCTGAATAACAGCATTTCACTCAGAGGGTTGGCCACACTATTCTGCCTAATTTTTAGGTCAAGTAAGTTTGAGAATCAGGTTTCTGTACTTCGTGAGTTCTCACAATATTTGGTATGCTAAGGTGCACTGTGAACTAGAGGGGGCAGGGGAATGAAGACGTCTCTCAAACTGAGTCCATTAGAAAGCCCTAGGTCCTGCCCCCAGGATAGTGAGTGCTCTGGGCCTCACCTGTAGAAAAAGCTTTAAAGGTCCCATTTCCTACCTGGGCATCCACAGCAGACAGATTTTGTCCACTCTGACAATTCTTGGAGGAGTAAGTGGACAAAGAATCTCTCTAGAAATATTTCCCACTTAATACTTCCCCTCCCATAGCAGGTTTCTACTGAAGCTATTGTTTGGTTGATTTGTAAATGATATGCCACCCGCTCTGGCTGGTGTAGCTCAGTGAATTGAGTGCCCACCTGCGATCCAAAGTCATTGGTTCGATTCCCAGTCAGGGCACATGCCTGGCTTTCAGGCCAGGTCCCCAGTAGAGGGCCCTCAAGAGGCAACCACACATTGATGTTTCCCTCCCTCCCTTCCCCTCTAAAAATAAGTAAGTAAAAATCTTAAAGAAAAAAAAAAAAGAATATAGCCCTGGCTGGCGTAGCTCAGTGGATTGAGCACGGGCTGTGAACTGAAGTGTCGCAGGTTTGATTCCCAGTCAGGCCACATACCAGGGTTGCAGGCCATGGCCCCCAGCAACCACACATTGATGTTTCTCTCTCTTTCTCCCTCCCTAAAAATAAATAAATAAAATCTTGTTTAAAAAAAAAGGATGTAATTGATGATCCTTTAAAAAAGTTAAAAAAAAAATAGAATATGTCACCCACCCAGCTGTATCCATATCATCTAACCAGGAAGATGGCCTGGTTAGGCAGTTCTGGGGAATAAGCCAAAACCCACACTGAAAGATTGCTTGGCTGAAGCAAGATGGGCAGTAGATGGTACACATGGAGACCAACCAACCATCCCATTAGAAAGAGCCACAAACAAGGGTGCTCCTCAAAGAGCCAGGGATCTGTCTACATGACTCTGCAATGCCTATTCTTATAATTCACTTACTATGAATTTAACACTCAATGCAATTAAAGTAATTGACACAAGGTGGGAGTGGCATAAAAATGAAAAGATTTGATTCATGCCTTATGTATCTAGAAACTCATCTCTCCTCCCTTTCTAACTTTATTTGGCTCTCTTAGCAAAAGCCAAAAGGCAGGGTATCCAAGTTGTGATCATAATGACATGACCTTCATGGCAAAAACAGAACAAACAAAAATAGGTACTC